ACATCTGGACATACTAATTATGTTGTTAAATTTCATGTTATATCTAACTCATTTAACTTGTGAGGAGCAGTGCTTCAGGAGGCTGGATTTAGCAAATCTTTTCAGTAAAACCAGACTGCTTCTGAATGAGCTTTGTATAGTCAGCACAGTGGAATAGAAAATACTGTAGAAATCATTATCATGAATATATGACTTTAGACAGCTTGCCTTTAAAAATCCAACCCTATCTGGAAAAAAGGCTATTATTCCATATCATTATGTTGCATATTTTTCATTTATCTTCATAACTGTCTAGATTACTGGCTCATTTGTCTTTTTTTTTTAATGGTTCTGATATCAAATCCAGAACTCACAGCTGCTAGGCAAGTGCTCTACCTCTGAGCTACATCCCCAGCCCTATTCTTTTATAATAGAAAAATGTATACCCAAAACTAAGAATACTGAAATCCTGTGTTTTAGTTAGTTTCTCATTGCTGGAACTTTAAAAATACCTGATACCCACAAGTTTAAGGAGGAGAGGCTTATCTTGCCTCACAGTTTGTAGAAGTTTCAGTCTGTAGTCAGCTGGCTCCATGGCAGGGTAGCATGGCAGGGCGGCACGGCAGAGGGGAAGCAGTCCATGGGAGGGCAGGCAGGAAGCAGGGGGTGTATGTCTCTCCTGGCCGCACCCACTGTGACCCACCTCTTCCCACCTGGTTTCTCTTCCCAATATCACGCTCTGCTGTTGTCAGTGGACTACTCCAGGGATGAGTGTCACACATCTGTGATCCAGTTACCTCCCCAAAGCCCCATCTGTGAGTGCATGAGGCTATGGGGAGACATTTTAGATATAAACTGTAACACCCTGTACCTACCTGTCAGTTTTGAGTTGTCAACTTCTAGTCAGGCTCCTTTCATGCTGACACACAAGCTCCTCCAAACAAAATTATTTTGAAGCCAATTCCAGACCTTGTGTCCTTTCTTCTCAGAATGTTTTAGTATATATTTTTAAAAGATAAAATTTTTTTATATAACCCAATGCTGTTTAACAAAACAGTACTTTCTTAATGCTATGTAATAGCATCATTAAAATGCCTCTAATTGCTTGTCAGTGTGGTTTTATATTTTATATTTGGCTCAAAATCCAAGCAAAAAATACACATTGTACTTGTTGATAAAGCTCTGACACCTCTTTTGTTCTGTAGTTTCTTCTCCTCCGCTCTGCCCATGGCATGGATGCATGGGTTCTTATTTTTAAAAATTTCTTCATTGAAATGGGCTATTTTTTCTCTGTGGTTTCTTTGTCTGGATTTTGCTGAATCTAGATGCTCTGTCTCCTGTGTTATTTGTTGGTTTGGACGCTGGGCATTGAACCCAGGGCCTCGTGCTTGCTAAGTGCATGCTCTGCTCTGTGCGTCTTGTGAACTAGAACTCGGATGCCGAGCCTTGATAGGGTTCTGATTTGAATTTCCAACAGGAGTGTCTCGAAGTAGTGCTGTACGATTCCTTCTGAAGAGGCATAAAGTGTAGCTGTTGGTCAGTGTGTGAGCAGCCATTGGTAAACACTGCCTGGATCCTTTATGCCATTGTGTTTGCTACATGTTATTATTCTCATATCTTTATTGATTGTCTGGAATATTTCTACAAAGAGCAGCTTTTCCTTGTCATGTCTTCTGTTACTCTGTGGCACAGTTTGTACAGGAAAGGCCAAATGCTTACTTCCATCCCTATCACTTTGCAAAGAATGAGTTGAATTTATAAGTCTGCATTTCTCCAGCTTCTTTTTTCTTCCCTTTTGTTAAAAAGCACCATGAAAGCGTTGGGCATCATTCTTGCTGCCTTTCATGCAGCTGCACGTGTTTGGAAGTGGGACCTCTCATCTTTGCTTCCCCTCAGGGTGTGAACCCTGCTTGTCTCTCGGGCTTTCTGCAGAACACCCGGAGCGTTTTTTAAAAGGGGAAGATAGTTGGGGGCCATTTTCTGGATACATTGGTTTTATTTTAGATAAACCTAAACATTCTTTAAAATCAAGAGTATCCTTGGCTCTTGCTTCGGTTTTCAAACTGACGTCTGTGTATTGAATCTACCTTGGGAAGTTTGAGAGGGGATTCTTCCTTGTGGTTCTCGGTGTCCATTGCATTTCCTTTATCTGTGCTCTGGTAGAGTTTCCAGTGACTGTGAGCCTAGTTTGTTGCTGACATGGACCGTGTTTGCTGAGGGCCATTCCTGGGCTCATCTGCGTGGCTCCAGTCAAGTGCCAGGTTATGGTGCCCCTGTGCTTACTTTGAGGTTTTTATTTTCCCTATAAATAGTGAAGAAGAAACGGCCTTTCATTTAATGAGTGTAACATTTTAGATTTGCCGCTGGGAAAACTGAGTGCCAGAAAATTGTGCCAGACTATTGCGATGTCATCAGTTGGCAGAGTGTAAGGGAATTTGGTCACAGCCCCGATTCCAGAGGCCTGAAGAGGTTCTCCCAGCATCCTCTCCCCTGAGAATTTATGTGGCTCCACGTCCACGCGGTACTGACCCATTCCCATGAGATGTACATCCTGCATCTGAGCCCCCGAGGCTGGCATCCTCAGTGGCCTCTGAGATGCAATGTAAACCTTGCACGTGTCTTTATTATCTCGAAATTTTAAACTTCCAGTCCTTTCATATGTTTAATAGTGTTTGTTTTAGAAAAACTGAGCATACATTCCAATGATAAGTAAATAGAATGCTTTATTGTGTGTGCATACTCAAAAAGGTTTTGCTGGGCTGGAAGTGTAGCTCCATCGTGTAGGGAGTTTGTGCATGTGCAAGGCCCTGGATTCCATCCGCAGCACCCCAGCGTGCGCACACACACACACACACACCCCCTAATGGTGTGGTTTATCTGGAAAGTTCACAGTCCCAGCCTGCCTGCTGGTCAGTTCTTCTGCATCCTCTCAGGGGCAGCCCTTCGGCCCATTTCTCCAGTTTGTTTAAGAGTGATTATTTAATAATTCATATCACATTTTTTTATAGCCCATTGCTTAAAAACCTCCAGCAGCCTCCCAGTGTTTTGGAGTACAGTGAAGAAGAGGGCACTTTGTTGATCGTCTGGCTCTTTCCAGCCTTAGCCCTTTCCTGCCATCCTGGGTACCCTGGGTCTCCTCAGCCTGCTCCCCTCCCTCCTGTCTTCCTCTCTTCCTGCCGGGTGGCGGAAGTTCTCTGTCCTCTTCGCCTCCCTGGCTGGTCTCCTCTCACTCCTCAGGCCACTCTCGGGTTGTAGTTTTCTGATAAACCGGCTCCATCATCTGCTAGTGTTTTGGTGACTCTGGGAAAATGGGGAATTTGTCTGGGTTTTGTGGATCCACTGGTGTGCTGGGAACCGTGTTCCAGCCGGCTGTCTGGAGTCCATAATGACCCGGCTTGTAGCATTAGTACATTTTCCTGTGAAGATGCTCACGCTGGCCAGCTTGAGGTACTACGGTGAGGTCACAGAAAGCAGAGTTGGAAAGGGATGCCTGCCGTTATACGGCATTCCCACCATAAAGACGCAACAAGTGTGCTGGCAGTGTGCACCATGATAAAACACAATAAAGTAATTAGAAAGTGAAGATCTTTGGGCTTCTTTGTTAATATTATCTAATAATGACTTCAAGTAACAGTGAACCCCCACTACATCCCGAAGATGTAGTGCTCTGCTCTCAAGCCATGGTATGAGCCAGTCTAGAAATCCCTCACGTCGCAGGGGGAAGAATCGTGTTTTTTGAGTTGGTGAAAGACGTTGTGTAGTTGGTTATTGCAGCTAATTCCTGCTGCAGGGCACCTGGAGCAATTTCAGGATGAGCTAGTGACAGGAGGGAGGAAGACAGGGAAATTGTTAAAGGTGGATGGAGCCGCTGACGGGATTGAAAGGAGAAGGTTGGGAAAGAGAGTCCCAACAGCCTTGACCGCGACTGTGTCAAAGGTTTGTCCCTTCCACTCCTCCACCGTGGCTGTCCTCTGTCATGCCGTTCTTGCATGCCATCCCCGTGGGCGTTTTGGAGTTGTGACCCTGTGCCCTGGTGGTGGCACTCTGTCCCTATGGGTGTCAAAGCCCTGCTCTACGTGTGCCCCAGCTGGCTCAGGCATCACCCTGGGAAGCAGAAACCAGGGCTCTTTCCCGCCGTTGCTCTTTTCCAGCGATTTAACTGTCATATCAAAATATCTAATGTGCTTTTTAATGTCTGAGCTCAGTAGCTATGTTTTGATGTGGAGCCATTCGTCCAGTAGCTGCCGCGGTCTTAATGATTCTTGTGGTTAATTTATGAAGCTATGGAACACTGTTGAACAGTTCCAGTAGGAGTTTGTTTGCTCTTCTTAGAAATGTAAGCAAAAAAAAAGTGGTACAGTATGTCAGAACAGATTTTGAGCCTTCCTGAAGAGGCTCCATTTGGGTCATTGTAGTTCTTACCCATCATGTGCCTTAGAGCATATGTAAGTGTTTGAAATTTGAGATTTCAAAGATTTGAGAGTTTTGAAGGTAATTTTCCTCATAAAATAAGAGCAGTGTTCAGTTCCCAGTCTTTTGTGATTTGTGTGATGCATAATTGGAAGACTGTTGCTTGGAATAAATTAATACTAATTAACTTCTTCATCAGACACTTTTTTGAGCAGTAAGTTGTAGTTTTGCTGGAGTAAGTCATATACCCCTTGACTCTGAAAATCAAAGCCTAACATCGTTTGTGTAACTGTATAGATGATGCCATATAAACCCAGTAATCTACTATATGAGCTCTGATTTGGGAGATAGGTTAATATCTGAAATAACAAAAACAATAATTAGAAAACAAAAAGGAATTGTGAAAAAAGCAAAATGTAAATTGGAGTTGAAAACTATGAGAAAGAACATTTTCTCTGTATCTAAACCATCTATCAGGTGTTCTTTAGATTCCTCAAAGCATTGTGTTTGCTTCCTGGCAGCCAGTGGGACATGGGATAAAAAGATGACTCATCTAAAATGTCCCTCCTTATTCACCTTTCTGATGGAACACAAGGCCCGTCAGACTCCTGCAGCTGTCACTTATTCCTGTCTTCTACCTGTGAGTGAGACCCTTAGGCTTTGCTCCTTTCAATTTTCCTTTAATAGCCATGTTATTTAAATTTTCTTTGAGCCTCCTTTGTGTTGTATATGAATGAGCTTGTGTCTTTGGAAAGTGCGTTAATGTCCTCTCTGTTGGGCAGTCACCAGTAAGATAATCTGTGGGGGAAGATGAAAAAGAAACCCAATGTAAGTGAACTGAAATTAATAAGCAAGCATGTACTCAGCAGCATATCAGCTTGTTCAGTAATAACTTCCATGCCTTCCGTTATACTTGTTTCATAAGCCACTGAGTATGTGTAAAAAGTAAAATACATACAGATGCCACGGGGATGACCCAAGGCCACCCCAGTGCTGAAGCTGGGGCTCCAGGCATCAGTGTTGACCTCAGGAAGTTCAGGGGCAGGCGATTTGCTCTGAAAAATGAATGATAAGATATTAAGCTTGCTTTGTTGGGTATACACAGTAGAAACCAAAAATGGTGAACATTTTCATTTGTGGAATCTCTATTTCTCTATTCATTGCCTTAATTGACCGATCATTGAGAGCGAGATTATCAGAAAAACACTTTAGTAATGTTTGCCTCCACCTACTAAATTGGTAGTTTTGTCTGAATTAATCAGTTCGACCTAAGTTCCTAAATTGACTAAGCGTTTGACTGAAAAGATTCTTTAGGTGAAAATATAGACTATTTCATGGGATTGTAGGATGTATTGTGTTGCAAGTATGGATTGAGGGCATACAGCACATTGCTGCTAATCCCGGCAAATGTTTCTGACATGGATATAAAAGCAAACGCCATCTTGGTTACAAAAGTGAGTGTAAATTTAAACATTTCAATAGCCATGTGGTAGGACATTTCCAGTATTTTTTAAAGGTTAACTGTCAAATTCTAGGTCCTTTAAAGAAAAAGTTTTAAATGGCTGGGAATATAGTATGTACTCTATCCACATTATTTCCACACAAAACAGCCCTCTGTACTTGTAAAAGTCAAAAGCAGAGGCTTTAAGGAGTGAATCTGAGCCCTCTTCAGGTTGTTTCTGACTGGCACAAGGATGCAGGTGGACTGGACGGTGCCCGGCGGCCGACTTGCCCTCCTGTTCTGTCCCCAGTCCTCAGGGAGTCTCTGCTTCCAGTGTTGAGTCAATGTGAGGTCGTATTTGCAGGGGAGACTAAGGAGGCATATTAGGAATCTGTAGTAACGTACATACACTTTATAAAATCAAGTAAGATTGATGACCGCCCCTACTTAATTCAGAGCAAAGGAAGAGAATCTAATTTTTCTATTTTTCCACACCTCGTTTGCCATAATGAAAATGGCATACTGCTTTGAATCGTTTCCAATGAAATGATTTTCAATATTGTTGTCTTTGTGACATTTGGACAATTAGAATGCATTTCTTAAGCCTACTGGAAGTGCTGCAATGCTTTCTCTCTCTTTTCCCAGTGGCCCTCTCTGTGCTTGTTGCCTAGGAAACCACTATTAGGTTGAATTCTGTTTGCTTGGTTGTCAGACTGGCAGAATTAGGGGTAAAGTTCTTGGCTTTAGAGTTGTAAAAGTGGTGCTTTAGTATTAGAAATGTTTTATCAGTGTTGAAGTGCTTTATCTCCTCAATTAAAAAGCAGCCAAGCATTTATTTGGTTTTCTTAAAATATAAAATAGCGGATTATTATTTTCCTTGATTATTATTGTAATACTGTTTTGTATACAGATTTGCAGTAGGATTTGAATTGTCACAGTGGGTTAGTTCCAAATATAGGGCTTTAATAAAAATTTTATGTAAGTATGTGCTTACTTCCTTGGGGAGTCATGGACATGTATTACAATTCTCCAAACCTGCAGATATAAACATTAGAATACTTCATAAAATATTCAATGATATTTTAGAAAATGCAGGTTATTTTGCCCTACATTTGAAACCAGAAAAACTAAGCTTTTTCAAATTGAAGTTTGCAAGAAGTAGTGGACCTGTCTCAGCTCTTTTCCTTTCTGAGTGACTAAAAGTGAATGAAACTGAAAGTAAGAAGCTGTGGTTCCCTAACTGTACCTGTATCTCACCTAGCTCAGTGTCCTGCGAGATTGTCCAGGGGCTGCGTGCGCACAACACAGCAGCCACTAACCCCGCGTGGTCTGTGAGCCAGGAGTGAAGCAAGGAGAGGAAGCACCTGAGTGTAAACAGCCGTGTGGGCAGTGGTCTGTACGGGCCCAGGGCGTCACCGGTGGCTTGCTAGAAATGCAGAGTACGGGCCACCACCAGGCCCCACTTCCTGGGCATCTGTACTGTAAACGGTCCCGGAGCGGCGCACTGCAGCGCTCTCTGGTGGGCACGCACAGGAATGACCTGGAGAGCTCACAGCTACAGCGCCGGGCCTCACCTTCCATGTGGCCCGAAGTTTTAGGTGGGCCTTTTATGACATCTTCTCAGATCACTTCCGTGACTGTGAAGCTTTAGGACACTGATGTCACAGAGAGCGGATGCCCTAGTGGGGTGGAGCGATCTGACCTGGCAGCCTGGACTTTGCATCCTGAGTGCCTCGTGCCTGCCAAGAGCTGCTCCCTCAAGTGGACTGAGCGCGTGACATGCAGTGAAATGTATAGATTAGGGCTGTGGGACACATTTCTGCTAATCTAGTGCATGTTCCTGACATGGCTGAGAATATGAGTCATACACACACATACATGCACGCACCTTCCTTCATTCTGTCTCTTCTCACTCCTGTCTCTTTTCACTCCCTTGCACAAGTCCCCTAATAATAGAGTAAATTGTGGTGCAGTCCAAAGCCTCCTTTGTTTGCCAGTCTTACCCAGAGGGAGTTTGCCTCATCCTTAATTGTCTTTTCATGGCCGTGTTTGTAGCTGGGGAGAGTGATCCACAGACTCAGGCCCCGTGGGTCCACGGCTGAGGGATGGTGGCTTCTGTCCTGCTCTGGCTTTCAGTGCGGGGTCAGCTCAGGGTGTGCCGCCCTGCTCCCATGTGGCAGCCCGAGGAGATAGTGCCGGGAAGGGAAGAGTCCCAGTGGATCTGAGCACTGCTTTAAGCTCCCAGTGCTCAGGAGTTCATGCTTATCAGATGGGAACTCCTTTGCCTTGGCTTGGTTCTGAGGTGTGGGATCTGTCTCCTCCAGTCACTCACGGGTTAACTTCACCCGGGTATTGCAGTCCTGTTACACTGAGTTTCCCTACTTATAAAGTGGGAATAATAATGATGACGATGGTAGAACCTATTTTTGTGGCCTTGTTCTGAAGATTTATCAGTTAGTGCATTTAAGTTCTTAGCACATACATGACCGCAGTAAATGCTCAATAAATGTTAGTAATTGTGGGCTTGATTGGCTTATTATGAATGATCGGGATGCATTCAGTTGTACATTACTCTTCCCTTAAGGAGAAGAATGTCTTGGATTAGCTATGAAGGATCCTGCACTTTGAAGGTAGTGTGAACAGACAGGAGGCCATATGTTTCAGAGCCACGAAGTCTTACTGCTGCCTTCCAGCAGCCGGTTGGTGCCAAATGGCTTTATTAATAGCCAGTGTTCCATCGTAAGGAATTAATTTGAAACTGGAACACTCAAGACAGGAAAATGGGTAATGAGCTATTTGAATGCTTTTGAAGTGCTCCTGTCTTATTTTGCCTGTGTAATATGGCATTTCTTCAACTCCGGCGGTCCCTGGTCCTTTATTCCCTTTCACCTTTCTGTGTAGCACTGGTGCCTCCTGACAGTCTTTGGGGGCATGGCAGGTACTCAGTAGACAGTTGTCTTCAAGGAATGAGCCCCCATTTCCTTAAGTTGTATTTATTCTTTAAAAAAGACAATCATCAAGTCACACTTCACGCAGCATAACAATACTGTCCCGTGTCCAACCCAAAGCACATTGAGTCTTTCCTTAAAGTAGGATATGTAGCCAATGCTTGTCATGTTACATAAAAACATAACACGAGTGAAAAGAAGAAACGTGGACATAACAGAACGAGGATGACAGTCCCAGTGCTCATTGGTGTTACTGGTCACGTGGTTGTGGCCAGTGTTTATTGCTGCCTTCTTCCACTGCCGAGTCCCTTTCCCCTTTGTCCTCAGCATGTGGCTCTCTACCTCATGTGTTCACCCAAACCTTTATTCCTGCAAGATCTGACCCGTGAGTACCTGGATTGGGGCATTATAGTTTCTTGTTAACTTTAAAAAATTATCAAATATTTCTTGTGTTTGGGAAGTTCTCCTGCAGTGTTCCGTATTAGTAATCCTCACAGTTATCCTGGAAGGTGTTTGTGACTGGTTCCGTTTTGTGGCTGACAAAGTAGTGCTTACAGAGTAAAAGGGGGCTACCCAAAGCCACACAGCTAAGAATGAGGAGCAGAGATTGAAATCTAAGTTGCTGTGAGTTCAGTGCCCGGAACCTCTCTCAGTGGTTCAGAGTTCACCTTGGTGAGCCAGCAGGCCAGCCAGCTGTCCTTACACTGTAGTCTGGTATTGGGAAGAGATCTGAATAATTGTCTGTCGGAATGACGTCTTCTGAGGCCGCCTGTGTAAGGCTTCATTTATCTTTTCATTGGTGCAAATTCCTCTTACGGGGTGATGAGGCTCATTATGGGATGTTGGCATGTATGTGTTGCATATTTTGGTTATTTTTCATCCCCTTTCCTCCTCCCTCCCCAAACTCTTCCCTATCCCTGGAAAATTTCATTCTAATTTCCTGTCCTCTCTCCTTTGTCTTTTAAATTTATTTGAGATATATTTTATGCTTCCTTTTCAAGTTGTTAGTAACATGAAGATTTATGTTCCAGGTGAAAGGTCTGTTTATGACCAGAAAGCACAGAGCCCGGGCCTGGAGGATGCTCGGTGGTAGCGCGGGTGCCGGCTATTCCCGGGCCTGGTTCCAACCCAGCGGCTCCAGCACAAACCTGCACTGCCCAGAGGCTGATGCTGTGGGCTTGGGGCAGTGTGGCCAGGACATACGCACCTGGAGACAGGGGATGCGTGAGCAGGCAGCGACCTGGGCCCTGGGGAAGGGAGAGAGCGCAGGACCGGAGTCACAGGAGTCACAGAGCTGCCGGGCAGCACCATCCCTGCCCCACCCACCTCCTCTGCCTCTCCTACCCCTTCCCTTTCCCCTCCTGGCCTCCTTGCTGGCCTAGTCTTTTTCCTTCTTTCCTTTTGGGGGGAGTTGTAGTGACTCACACACACTCTTACTGCAAGGCTGCTGCTTCTTCCTCTCAAAAGGAAATCTTTGGGCAAGATTATGTCTGAATTCCCACCGTTTCCAGCATCTAACCCTACTGCAGGTGCCAACACCCGTCACCAGCCAGCCACTAGCACTGAAATGATGTTTTGCAGACAATTTTCCCGGTAAGTTTCTAATAGGAATAAAACACTAGGCCCCCCCATCTAGAAAAATTCCTTCAGTTTCTTTTCTCCTCTTTCTCTC